AGCCTGCCGCTCCATCATCCCAGCTAGGAAGCACGCGTGCCCTTATGCACAGTTCTGCGAGTGCAGAACGACCTGGGCAGGCTACCGAAGCAGTGAAAAAAAACTGGTAATATTAACATTGGTGGATTGGTGCGAATCGATCAGTTACGGGACTCACTCGCCCCGTTCTTTTCAATGTCATGCGAAATAAATTTTTCATAGCACTCGCTGATGAGATGTCCTTTTAAACAAATGATTCTCAAGCAGTTTGTGTCAATTACGATGCATTCCATTGGAATATGATTTCAGAGACGCACAATGACTGCATATGCATAAATGCATTATTACATAGGATTGAACTTTAGGCTTGCACAAACTTTACAGTAACCAAAAGCCCCCAGGGTGCTCCTTAAAGCCCTTGTCAGGACTTGGAAGGCGATGGCAGCGAAGGCGATGCCTGGAGTTATTTTGGGCTAATATAGCAAAAACATTAACCCCCTCTCCCCATGTACCACATTAAACGGCATTCGCCTCCTAAATTAGCGAAACAAGTGCATTTGTGTCCGCAGGGTTTCCTGTGCTCTCAAGCGCATAATACAGAACAAATATGAGCTTCAGTGGACATGGTTTGGGTAAACCGTGCACTTTACGCTAAATGGGGGGGGAGGTTCCTTTTCCTGGTGTACCATGAAGTATCATCCTCCTAGTTCGTTCGTACATACTTAATAGATTAGCTTTCTGAAAACAACATCAGACATTCGGGTCTAGCCCTTAGGTAAAATCTCGCAGTGGCCTAACGTGCTATAAAATTAAGTAAAATCTCCCCTTTGAATAATAATATCCTACAGAGAGCAGACAAAACGACTTCGGTTTCCTGGAGGACAGCACTGACGATGCGTAGTTGTATATTACTGACCGTCTGTTGGTACATTTTGAATATTACGCAGTTAATCAGCAGTAGCTGAGAGATCTCAGCGGAATTATTCATACCACCTTTCGGATCGAACTCAAAAATTTTTTGTCCAAAGGATTTGCTCCAAGTTCTCGTATTAGCTTTCTCGAAAATTAAAAAAAGACAGTGTTGGTTATAATTATTCGTCCTTTCAAGTAGTGCCGCCCAAGATCGGTCAGCGTCAATCCGATCTCTTTCCGGACGTGGACGTGGTTATGAAGCAATCTCATTGGAAGGGGCATTATCCCAGTTAAAACGACTTGCTCAATCAACCATGTTACCGTGCGACATCTCATTACTATCTGAGCGGAAAACTACTCCGATGGCCTCTTCGAAGACAAGAAGTCGTAATTTGCACGAAGTGAGTACCCACCTTTTGGTTCGGAGATCACATGAAGGCGATTCGTCACTTTTGTTTTTGGTGAAATACGTTTTGATTATCCTGGTTTTAGCGCCCGAAATTATTGAAAAAACTCTCATATACATCAACGTTTTCCCGAATCGGTCACTTGCTTTCATAAATTGCATAAATTATGGTTGTATATAACATCTATAGTCCGTAAAATCAAACCGCTAAAATGGCGGATATCTAGCGCCTGCACATTTCATTTCATTTATACTAATCAACTGTCATCTCAGTTCCGCAAGAATGGATTCTTAGCTTCTAACCTGCATGCTTCTTTCATCCTCTTCTTGTTCAACGTATTTCTATTTCACCTGAAAACTTACTGTATAGTCTCGCTAAGATCGTCGAAATTCTTTTGAATTCATTGATTATCGCAGCAGAAGCACATCTTCTACGGCATGAGACAAAAAGCGAATCCTTTCGGATTATGAACAAACCTCACCATACCTGCAACCTGGCCGTTATTGCTCTAAGCCCAGTGTGAGCTAAGCTTGGTAGATGGCTCAATAATCCTGTTATACATCGTTGGGCATACATATATGCATAGAGTTGATGACCTAACTCGTGCAAAATGCCGAACTTTAGGAAACATTTATAATTACTCGCAAACCGACATTAACGCATGTACGGAAAATATAAACGAATAATGAAAAATCTGAAGCGCATTTAAAACTTAAAAGAAATATATAGGTAATATTGCTTTCTTGAGAAAAACCACTTTTTTGAAAAGCGGCAGATTCCGAAAAAGCCAAAAATCGCTGCAGGTGTGACAAGTGCAAATAGAATTATCAGAGGAAATCGCAAACGTGCCATTTGGTATGTAGTAAAATAACCTTTGCGTCAAATATCTTGATATTTATTTATAGTATTCAATTACAATTAATTGCAGATCCTCCTTCGACAAATATTTCACGATTCTCTGTGTTTTCAAGCTTATCCCCCATAAATTTTGATGTTTTTCGGTGTGCTTATCGAAAACCTCAAAATAAGACATTTCCTAAAAGCATTTATCGAAGTATTGCGTTTCTGGATATTCTTGCTTACAAAGACGACCGGTACATATCAGGATGCGTTAACAGTCGTTAACAATCTCGAGGCTACCAACTGACGGAACAACCGAGTTCACCACAGGACTGAGACTCAGGCCGCAATGACTCCATCTCAGAGTTCGTTGTACAGCATTCTCACCTACGCGAGATTTGGGCCGCCCTCATAAGTGTGAAGGAGCTAAGGTCACGTGCGGCGCCGACAGATGGGCTGTTTACGCTTCAGTCACTGCGCTGAGCTCATATCCGGTCGATTTGACTTTGTTTCGCTTTTAGAGCACAATGAATGTGGACGAGAGATAGTGCGAGAGAGAAAGAGCGCGCGGTAGATGCTGCGAAAGTCTGTCTCGCTAAAAGCTACTTCGCTCTGAAGTCTCCATTTTTGTGCCAATCTCGTGAGCCGGCGGCCGGCGCCGCCACTGGCAGTGGTCGAGCAGCAGTATGCATATGCAAATATGAGAAAAAACGATCTAGAAAACCATGATGACTTTGTCCTGATGGTTCGAGTGCAAACGAGCCTGCCGCCCTGTCGGTTGCGATAGGGAATGTTAACTATCTTGGAAGGTGGTCCAGTAGTGTTAGAACCACCATTTGAACCTCAAAGCTGTAGTAATGAAGGCGAATCTGCCTGTATGTGCTGGTTTCCGTCCGCATAAAGAGAAGATGAGGAAGCGGGTAAGCTCATAGTGACATTTGTTATGCTTGCTGCAAACACAGGAGGCACGTTTTATTACTCATTAGTGATACGGCTATAGGAAATACCGTGTAGTATCAGTATTACTTTCACCTAGTTGCACCATTATTAAGTAATGGTAGAAATAGTAGTAGCAGTACGATACTTATTATTAGACTGATTCTATTGCAAATCTGGGACCGACATTGATAAGGGAAAGGTCACAGATGTCAGCAAGTCGCCAAAGCCAAGCAATGAGGTTGGGGTCAGAAGTTTATCTGTCCTCAATTCCTACTATAGAAAGCTCGTTTTGCACTATTACCATATAGACACAGGCAAAAACAAGCTCACCCAAAAGGTGAGTAGTAGCAGGGCTCCTATTATCGGACTGTTTCTACTGCACTTGCATTACAATATATTATTATTACTATGAGCAGATACGATTATCTATATTAGCAGTCTTAGCATTGGCATATTACTACTAGCAGCAGTATCCCAGTCCTCGTAGTCCTAACTTAGTAGGATCTGACACAACCTTTGGTAGATAGAGTTGAGAGAGTGGAAACCAAGACAAGCCTTGACGTGCTCCGAGCCTCAAACAGGTATTCTTCTCGGTATAGCATAAATCCAGGCTCACAAGCGTAGGTGAGATCGAGGGTACATGATCCCAGCTATGACTTGAATCAGCATCACCTCTAATATTAACGTCAATAATATTGTCAGTACTATCAAAACTCAGTTACATCGCAATTTAGTAGAAGCAGTAGGAGTCTCGATCTTCACGTGTCTGTCTTGACAGCGGCCGATGTTAAGTGAGGGTATATAGTGCTACTGCCACTTAAGACGAAATCTCGCGGTGTTCTGGCCTGCACTGGATAAAGCGGTCATCGCTGCATTCTGGTCTTCTTGACCGTGGGTGAAGGTAGAGAGTGCGTTTGACGTTTGCTACCTCTACTATCACTTAAATCAATCCCCTGTTCTCCAGTCACCTTCCCTACACCAACCTGTTTGGTGCATATGGTGGATTTACTCGCAATCGATGGTCGAACAAGCAAGTGTGAAGTAAGCCAATGCCTTATCATTGAACCGCGCGTAAACTCTCCTGTCGGGGCGATCCGGAATAATAAAATCAAACAGAACAACAGGCCATGGCTCATTTATAGATCAACGAATAAATAAACCGGATTCAACTACCTGGCCGCCTAGACTTGGGTTTATGTATGTTTACCTAACGATAACTACTGAGTTAGAAACATCCAACCCAATCTGCTCGATCTTTGTCTGTGCTCATTATCTACACATACTACTGACCACTATGCGACTGCTCTCGAGGGCTATGGATTGAGTGCAAGGCACAACGGGACGAGTGTGCGCGGTAACCCGATCGATGAACGCAATCCAAACACAACATATGTATAAAACGACCCCAAATACTACATTAACCATTGACTAACTGGGCAGCATTCTTCTGACCAAACTTAGTTGACTTTTGCAAAAAAAGTTCGCGAAGGTTTCTCACTTGCGAACTCTCCGAGGGAAGAAACAAGCATTGAGACATAATCCGCTGACTGGAGCTCGGCGCAGCAGGAGGTGTCCACTACGGGCGTTAGTGCGCCGGTTATGTTGCCATGGTGATCAACGGGATCCACTTTAACTAAAACAAAACAAAAACGTGAAGTTGATAATTAAAAAAAACCCAGTCAGCTCTGGATACCCTATATAAAACAAAAGTGGGAGGAAATATTCAAAAGAGAATTAGAAGAGAACTTTCAGTAATCAAAGAGTAAAAGAAACCACCACAGGTACAATCTACGGCTGTAAAAGCTCAGTTAAATTTGAATCTTCAGATGCTACCGCGATGCAAGCCCACTGAAGAGCGAGTCATATTGTCTTCGCTGTCTGTCTAAGTCTAGTGGATAATCAACTGGAACCGTAATAAAAATCCAACATCTGGACAAACGACAGCGGGGGTGCCTCGGTAATTCCCATCTGTCATTCACGAATGGACGTATGTAATCCGTAGCACGACAGCTAATGGGTGCGGGACCCACCGCAAAGAATTCGATGTCCTCTTGCTAGAAGCTGAACAAACTGTCGAGGGAGTTAGAATGATACAGCACACAATCAAATACAAGCTAATTTTCAGTTTTTACTTTTTTTAACCAAACGGGTTAAATCGTGCAGACAAATGAGAGCAAACTTTGAGAACTTGGAACTGCACAGCTGCACAGGCAGGGGATCAACAACAGAAACTAGCAAAAAAGATGTCGAGAAGAAGAAGACGACTCGATCGCTGGGGCAATACTTTTATTCGCCTGACGTTTCGATATCCGTCGCAGATTCGTCATCAGAAACATAGTCAGACAGCAGTAGCAGATACGGGGTCCTCCGTGTCCTTCATGCGGAAGTCGTTCAGTGGCAGTCTATACGCACGAAGCTCATTTTGGCTCCCCCATAATAGTTTACGAAGCAATTTATTCGAGAAGAGCCCCGGCAAAATAATCTGGCTTTTTATAATCACTGGGACGTAAATTGGGTCCTTGACAAGAGCATAGACGAAACTAGTCTTTTCGCAGACATCAGAGAGGTCAATAGGCTCTATAATATCCTACAGCCAATAAATGTATCCGTGTGATGCCTGCTGACTTATCAATTTACTCTAGACGAACTCGAGAATATTTGAAAATATCGGTCGGGATAGAAAATTTCACTTTGTTTCTGACAGTCTATTGGCTGGGATTCCAAAGTGTTCAACAAACGCAGAGTTAATTTCAACCACCCAATCGGTAAACAAACCCACTTCAAGTGAATCACTTACGATGTTGGAGCGGACAAAGGCAAGCATACGCGGATGTTTAGCTCTTGGGCGCCGGGAGTATGCACTTGGAATAGCAGTTGAATGATTGAAACGACACAAGGGATGTCTTAATGAATTCCCATTCCTGTCGAATACGGTGAAAAAATAGTTAGGCATAATTGGAAGATGGTCTTCACTCAGGCCTGGTCGGCGACAGCGAGACAGGCTGGGACGGTAGATAGAGGAGGAGGAAAGAAGGGGGCCGACGCAAGAACGGCCGTGCTTGGAAGAATAGGCACAAGCTTTAGCGCTAACTTTAAGACCGCACTAAGAGTACACGTCACTACAAGTTACAGACAATTTTTTTAAACTTGGATTTCAAGTATGCCTGTAGGTATTTTAGTACATATGTAACCTCAGTAAGTTAAGTATATGAGTCTGCTCTTCAGCTCCTTCCGCAGGCAGCTCCTCTGCTACATATGTGATACGAGCCTGAGACTATTACGCTTTATCATGGCTTGGAAGTCTACCAACTGACGCTAATAACAGACCACACCATCAGCCAAATGTATGTTGTATGATAAAGACTGATCAGTGGACTGGGAAGCAGACGGCGATCGCTCCTTCCTAACGCTTGGCCGTGTAAATCCCGGTGTGTGTGTTAAGCGGCCAGGTCGTG